AACGGAGCGGAAGCAGTGCCGTACGTGACTGTTAATAGTTGATATGCTTGCGCGGATTCAAGATTATTAGCGGTCCACAAAATGCGTTGATAGTTGATATCACGAGAATCAACTAGTATTTGTCGGTACATTTTTGCAATATCCGCAGAGTACACATCGAAACTGTCGCCATCGAAGAATTACGGCCGCTAAATCCGTTTGTAGTTTCGGACCGGTAAGCAAATGATCATTAAGTGATGTCGCGTTTGTGGTGAAGATAATGCGTTGAACACTACTCTTAAACGAGTGATTATACTGTTATCTTGGATGACGGGATGATGGGGAATGTACACGCACTGAGAATCGGAGAGCGGTGAAGATACCTTTCTCATGTGACCGAGCTGTTCGTATTCGCTGAGAAAGTTCGAATATTCTGATTTTAAGTTGGAGTTCGTTTTAAATCGACGATGAAGACTTGCTATTAAACGCTCAACAAGATCACGAGAGTTGCCGATTTCGATCGGAGGATCTTTCTTAAACGGAAGACGAACGATATATCTCTCGTCAGAGCAACGCGAGTGCGTTGTTAGAAAGTGTTCTTCACACTGCTGTTCCTCAGGATTTAACAGAGATTGCTGAGGAATCTCTTCGATTTCCCAGAATTTTCGATGTTCTTGCTCGAGAGAGACTGAACTCGCGCAGTGTTGAACAGTTATCGTTTGGCGCGACGCAATCGACGCAGATGTGGGGCCTGAAAGCACCCAGCCAAGAATCGTATTTTGCGCGAATGGCTGCCCGCTGGTTCCCTTACGAATATCATCTAAAAGTAATTCGCTATAAAGATCGGCGCCGTAATGATATCAATGGGGTCTGAATTAAGAGGGTCCGGAGGATCCGGATCTGCGAGGGCGAGATCGGCGAGATGACGCCAATTGATATCTGAGTGCACCGGCGACGGAGAATAATTAGTAAGTGATTTCAAAGTTGACACTGTTGTGGTGAGAACGGGATGAGATTTGTCGACTGGCGAGATTTGAATGAGCGCGGCGTAACGACAAATCCTGGCATCGACGCATCCGACAGCGGAAATTGAGATAAGCATTTTGAGCCGACGCAATCTTAATGTTTGCCGAAGACGTTCGGTGACAAATGTTATTTTGGAACCTTGGTCGAGTAACGCTCTCACGACACCAGAACGACCTTCGATCCGACTCTCACGCGAGCCATCGCTAACAGAACTGGAGGACGAGATGACAGTTCGGAAGTCGAGAAAAGCGTCGTAATTGATGCCGTAACATCCGTCTCTGACTGTGTTGTCGTTGTTGGGGTATTATCGTTTGAAGCTGAGACCGAGTCAGGGTGGAGCATAGAATGATGTTTTTTCTAGCATGTTCGACAAGAATATTTACTCGGACAAGATGGTACTGTATGTTTTGCACTCAAACAGTTTATACAACGATTAGCTTGTTTGATGATTTCAGACCGCTGACTCGGACTTTTCTTGATAAACTTCGGACATTTATATATAAAATGAGCCTTTACACATAAAACATGATATATTCGCGGCAGTAGATGCAGTGGCGCTAGTTATTTTTTGCGATCGCGTGAGTTTCTTAGCATCATGAGGAAATAATTCTTCGAGTGCGAGATGCAAGAAAACGATCGAGATCGTCGTACGTTGGAATGTCGGATCATCGCCTCCTTTTAATTTCCATGCCTTCCGCATCGCGTTATCAAGCTTCTGTGAGACGTTATATACAAGAATATCACTCAAAATGTCATCTGCGGAACGGTCTAAATTTTTTAACGAAGCGATCGCACGATTTGCTTTGTCTCGAAACTCGTTTAATTCAAAGGCAGACTCGCGGGTAACGGTCGGTAAATTGTATAATGCTGAGACATGGACTTCGATTAACCGGCATTTGTTTTCGTACCGGAACACAAGTGTTCTCTAGGCAATGTCAAAGTTATCAGCGGTGATCGGGATATTTTTGATCGATTCAAGCGCGCGACCACTCAAACTGGATGACAGAAAATGCATACAAGCGAACGCGGACAAATCTTTATTTTGAATGATGAGCGAAGTGAATCGATCCCGAAAACTTTCCCACTCTTCATAATTCCCGGAAAACGGCGGTATTTTAATAGGCGGTAAATGGATAATGAGAACGATGACATAGTTTGACCCGGGTTGAACACCTGACTGGTAGACTGGATGGATCCCATGGGCTTTTCTATCTCCTCGAGATACTCTGCCACGTAGTCCAGAGTATCGTGGTAGAGATCCTCGTGTTCGTCGAACAGCTCATGTTTAAAATAGTCGAGGGATTCTCGCTTTGACTTCCAAACACTTTGCAGCAGCGTGGCATAGACTTGAATGCATTACGCCCACAGTTCTTTCAGAGCGGAAACTCGCGATCGTATTTTAGCACCCGTGTAATTGTTTTTACCGATTTTTCTGAAATTGTCCAACGATCGAGAAATCGAATGGAACAACGATTGCTGCTTCGCTAACGTTTCATTCATTGTTTTGACTGAATAAATGAATGTTAATCACGAATTAGTCCGTTGAAAGTTCCGCACAGATTCACCTTATCCGGCTCGAAGGACCAAAATTCACTTTTTTTTTTTGTTCAGAACACTGATCGCTCAGAGAGAGCGAGAGGTGATTAACGGAATAGATTTTAAAGAGATAATTCGTTGTGTTACTGCTACGACTAAAGGTGAACTGTCAAAACAACAAAGCGAGCCAGAAAGTGAGAGAATGATAGGAAGGAAGCAAGAGGCGAATACTCTTGTCTAAATCCCTTTGAATTTAATGCGTCTTTTATTAAGATAAATTCTTAATATTTAGTTTCGTTTTTATGACAGAGTTAATCACAGACGTGAACTGTAATTCGACAGATAATAAATGGTCAAGATCCGATATCGCGTGGCGCGGATAACTTGTTCTCGAAATATCGCACATTAACGGATTCATAGTTAAATTCGCATAACAATCCGGAAAGAATGCACTCCTTGATTGCAGAGCCACTTTTGACAAATCATACTTTTATTGTCTCTTGTTTTTGCACTCCTCGATCGCGACCTTTTAGAAAGAGAAAAGTCTCTCGTTGAGAACTAGCGATTACTGATCTGTCTTCGTGCGCGGAACAACGAAAACCAACGAACCGATTTTTAAAAAATTCGAGAGCCTCACCTTAAGAGTGGGAGGAAAACAAAGCGCGATACCTTGACTTTCGGTAGTCTCGCTCAGGCTCGTGATAGACAATTATTAGGGCCTGAGGCAAGACGATTACACGATTACATGAAATTATACATAAAACAAAAGAAAAATAAAGAAATTTTTACGCTTTATCAGAAAGAGAAACGAAAATATAAACTTTCTTATGAATTTAAACATCAATAAAATATAGAATTCGCACATGGAAAAAAATAATATTGTATTAACATCAATGTAATTGAAAGAAATGTTATTAAATTATTAAATAATATTATTATTCAAATCAAATGCATAGTATATTAATCAATAAAATCAATGCCATGATTTGAATAATAACGTTATTAAATTAATAAAATCTCTCCTATTTACACTGTATACATTATTTTTGTTTAGTACACTTAAGTATCCCGCGGGAGCATTCGCGCTAGCGTTCGCTTTCCCCCTCTCGTCTCGCCTAGCGGCGCTTCTATACTTCACGAGAGGGCGCCTCTAGCTGAGGCCTTGGCGTGTGAGCCGTCTTGTCTTCTCTCTGCTCTCGCCCCTTGAGCCACGTTATATCTTTGTCACACATAAGCACGCAATATCTTGTGCAATAATTTGTAATAAGAAAGGCATTCTGAGCAAGCTTCTGTACGTATTTGTGAGTTCTGAAATATACATATTTTTAAACGAGAGGAACGCAACTTTCTTCCTCGACCACGTGGCTACGAAGCACTCTTCCCGTCGGCATATACGTGGAGGGCATGCCAGCCCCAACAAAACATATTGGTCCTTCGAGCCGGATACTTGGCGATTTCTACGGAACAAGGAACTCAGCGACTACGGACGAGCCTCAGAAACGAGCACGAGGAAGCTAGTAACCGCTGCCATAACCTCAAAATTGTCGTGCATTATATCATTGCCGGCATCTCAGTCACACACAAGGCCATCTTGGACGAACGAGCGAGCCATTTCCTCGAGGAAGCTACAGCCAGGATCCAGTCCAGCTATAACCACTGCGGAACCATCAGGATTCCATTGGCGCCGGCGGACGTCCCGACTGCATTCCAGGAAACTCGCGCCCATTGACCAGCGAGCGTTTCATCAGAGCGCTATTTATTGTTAACAAGGTAAGGGCAATCGTTCGAGAGTGCAGCCAACCAATCACCCTTGTCGTGAACGAATATTTTTATCTAGTTTCGCGTCATGGCAAACGAGCAAAATCTCGCTTCTCTCAAGAAGCGGCACGCAGTAATACAAGGCTCGTGAACGCGTATAAAAACGTTTTTAGATTCGGTTGTTTCCGTCACGCCTACCATAGCCGCGCAGCTCGAGGAGCGACGAGCAAAATTAAACAGTAACATGTCCGAATATGAATCGGTACAAACAGAAATCGAGTTGCTAGACGAGATGGAGGAAAATCATCGCCTCAATTTCGAGGAAGCCTTTTTCACTTTAGCGGCGAGAATGCGAGAACTCGTAACGCCGCAATCAATTCCGTCGCGTGCAACAACAAGATCTCCTTCGAGTGAACTTGATCTGCCGAGATGGTCAGCGCATATCAGGCTTCCGAAATTAGATCTTCCGACTTTTTCGGGCAAATACGATGAATGGTCTGCATTTTTTGACGCGTTTCAATCAATTATTCCAACGAGTCGATAACTACCGTACAAAAACTTCAATATTTGAAAGGCTGTTTGAAGGAAGACGCGAGTAAAGTCATTAGTTCCTTGGAAATTTCCGCTTTGAATTATGAAGTGGCCTGGAATTTATTAAAAGAACGCTACGATAACAAGCGCAAACACACGTTCGAGCGATCATGCAATTGCCGTGCATGAGCAAAGAAAATTCCGTCGAACTGCGTCAAATCGCGGACGGTGCAATGAGACACGTTCACGCTCTCAATGCGTTAGGGTGTCCAACGTCTCAGTGGGATGACCTTCTCATATTCATTTTGACCGATAAATTAGATGCACGTACGTCTCGAGAATGGCAATCATCTCTAGACACGCCCGATCTGCCTACGCTACAACAATTTATAAAATTCCTTACGCGTCAATGTCAAATGCTGGAAGCTACCAGTAAGGTCACGCCAAATACAAAAAATAACCCGCGTTCTCAAACGAGTCGTCAAATCGCCTGCGCCGCCGCAACTACTTCAAAGTGCGGTCATTGTAACGGTGAACACTCGATATATTACTGCAAGGATTTCTTGGCGCTTACAATTCCGCAACGCGTTTCGGAAATTCGTAAAAAGAAAGTTTGTGTCAATTGTTTGCGTTCTACAAGTCATGCTTCGAACAAATGCCCTTCCGGCGATTGCAAGATATGCAAATCAGAACACAATTCCTTGCTGCATCTCACAGCAGCTCCCTCAACCGAACACACAAGCAGTGATAAAGAAAATCGCGAACCACCTGACGCGGCAAAATCATCTAATATTATAGCAACGCATAGCTTAAACGCACGCAGCAATCAAGGGGTAATTCTTTCTACTGCACTCATACATGCATACGACAGAACAAGCTCACTCGTACCCTGTCGCGTACTCCTAGACTGCGGATCGCAAGCAAGTTTCATTTCGCGGAGCTATTTAAATAAACTCGGCATTCAGCCACGGTCGTTAAATATTTCGATCACCGGCATCAATGATGCATCTACTAAAGCATCACAAATAGCGCAGGTGCAAATCAAATCGCGAGTAGATTCATTTATCGCTACATTAGATTGTATAGTTACCGATAGAATAACAGACAAAATGCCCGCGTACACACTCAAGCAAAAGGATTTCGAAATTCCGAGAAACATCAAATTAGCTGATCCTAAATTCAACGTATCAGCTGACGTGGATATCCTTATAGGCGCGGAAATGTTCTGGTCAATATTATGTATCGGTCAAATAAAGGCTTCAGCCAACCATTCGATCTTGCAAAAAACAAGATTTGGATGGATTCTGGCGGGACGATTAACTGCTTCTTCACACAAATCGCAATGCATTCGAGCCTTTCACGCGACAATAAGCAATTCGCAGTTGCATGCGCAATTAACTCGTTTTTGGCAGCTAGAAACTGTTAGCAATCCAAGACATTACACCGACGAAGAATCTCGTTGCGAAGAAAGTTTCTTAGACAATTTTACACGCAATGATCAGGGTAGATACATTGTCAAACTTCCTTTCAAGGATCAAGCGAACGGCAAACTCGGAAATTCAAAAGATTCTGCATTGAAACGGTTCTATAATCTCGAGAAAAGATTTAAACGTTATCCGGATCTTAAAGCTCAATACGCACACTTTTTACGTGAATATCTCGCACTTGGACATATGAAACAAATACACGAATCGGTAGATGGCTTAAGCGAATCTTTCTATCTTCCTCACCATTGCGTATTCAAGAGCGCGTCACCATCTTCCGGTATCCGCGTAGTTTTTGACGCGTCCAGTAAAAGCAGTACCGGCGTTTCTTTAAATGACATTCTCATGACGGGCCCGGTAGTCCAGCAAGACTTAATTTCGATTTTACTGCGTTTCCGAACCTTTCGCTATGTTTTCGTAGCCGATATTATTAAAATGTATCGCCAAATTCTTATAGATCCTTCCCATGCGTGCTACCAACGAATTTTGTGGCGGGAGGACCAGGCTTCAGAAGTACAAACATTCGAGCTTGCCACCGTTACATATGGGGCCACCCCCGCGTCATATCTAGCAACAAGATGTCTTAAGCATCTTGCTGAATCGAATCGCGATAAATACCCAATGGACTCCGTATGCGTAGAGCGCGACCTTTATGTTGACGATTTGCTCTCGGGAGCCGATACTCTAATCGAGGCAGTCAAGGCGCGAGACGAGACCATTAACTTGTTGCGATTAGGATGCTTCGAACTTAGTAAATGGGCATCAAATTCTCCAGAATTACTAAAAAATATACATGATCAAACTGATAACACGGTCATAATCAATCACGAAGCGAGTTCGCGAATTTTAGGCATGCATTGGAATCAATCCTTGGACGAGCTTCACTTTTCTTACATTCCTGACGCGGAGCATAAGAATTTATCGAAGCGCGTTATTCTATCCGAAGTTTCGCGTTTATTTGACCCCCTGGGTTTACTAGGTCCGGCCGTAGTCTTGTCAAAACTTCTGTTGCAAGATCTGTGGCAATTGAGCATACACTGGGACGAATCGGTCCCCCCAGATATCAGCACGCGCTGGAACAAACTCAAGTCTCAGTTCGAAGATTTCAATCGATTAAAAATTCCGCGTATAAAATTTAATTCAGAGTCGCAATCAACTCAGATACACGGTTTTTGCGACGCGAGTCAACGGGCATACGGAGCATGCGTCTACATGCGTACACAGATAGGCCCGGAAGAATTTGGGTGCAAGTTGCTCGCCTCAAAGTCTCGCCTTGCTCCTTAAGACACTCTCGTTGCCCCGATTGGAATTATCGGCTGCTCTTCTATTAGCGCAACTAATTGATAAAATCAATGATTCATTTCCAATAACTAACATGAAAATCTTTCTCTGGTCCGATTCTACAATAAACTGGATATCTTCACCATCCCGGGAATGGGCAATTTTTGTTGCTAATAGAGTCGGCGAAATCCAGCGTCTTACAAACCTTAATTCGTGGCGTCATGTTTCATCGGCTAACAATCCAGCAGACATTTTGTCTCGAGGTCTACATCCGCGCGAACTTGAAGATTCTGCGATGTGGTGGAATGGCCCAGCCTTTTTGATGACACGCGGGAGCCTTTGGCCAAACGGTGAATTACTACTTTGAGTAACGACATTCCCGAATCAATTCGAACAACGGTAGGCGTCGCTATTGAAAACTCCGTTGTAGAGGGTTTATTAAGGAAGCATTCTAATCTAAATAAAATTTGTCGTATCCTGGCATATTGCCTAAGATTTTCCAAGGCTAGAAGATCCGATCCATTCACGTCTTTCATAACTTGCGAAGAAATTTCCTTTGCCTTAAATGTGATGTGCAAAACGGCACAGAAAACGGACTTCCCCGAGGAATACCGAGCCTTAAGCAAGGGTGAGGCTATCAGAACAACTAGCAATCTGCTATCGTTGTCCCCTTTTATCGATACCAACGGTCTAATTCGCGTGGGCGGTAGGCTAAAAAACGCCGAGCTACCTTTTGATACACGTCACCCAATTTTGCTATCGCGAAATCACATTTTAACGAGACTCATTATACTACGAGAGCACGAGCGCAATGCTCATGCTGGCCTACAAGCAACCATGGCTGCCATAAGGCAACGCTTTTGGCCCTTATCCCTGCGATCGGTCACTCGCAAAATCTTGCAAAATTGCGTCACGTGTTTTAAAAACAAACCGACTATCTCAGAAGCGATAATGGGCGCATTGCCGGCCGGGCGAATAACGGTTTCCAGGCCATTTCATCATTGCGGAATTGACTATGCCGGACCGTTATTAATACGCGAAGGTAAACGACGTAACGCTCGAATCAGCAAGGCTTACGTAGCAGTCTTCGTTTGTTTTGCCACGAAGGCAATTCATATTGAGCTTGTGAGCGATCTAACTTCAGAGGCTTTCATCGCGGCACTCAAACGTTTCGTTTCACGCAGAGGCAAACCCGCTGTCATATATTCTGACAATGGGACGAACTTCGTAGGCGCTCAAAAACAGTTACACGAATTCTATGAGTCACTCGGTCGCGATAGCGCACAAACCGACATCAATAATTTTTTACGCGATCAAAAGACCACCTGGAACTTCATTCCACCTAATGCTCCGCACTTTGGCGGACTATGGGAGGCGGCTGTAAAGTCAGCCAAACATCACCTTTATCGAATCATTGGGAGGGCACATTTAACCTTCGAGGAGGTACAAACCGTTTTATGCGAGATCGAAGCAATTCTAAACTCGAGGCCCCTCACACAATTAAGTTCGGATCCGAATGATCTAACCTACCTTACCCCCGGGCACTTTTTGGTTGGCACTCTCTTGAACGGTTTCCCTTCTAGCGACTTATGTGATGTCAACGAAAATCGCTTACTGCGATGGCAACGCGTCGAGCAACTCCGGCAGCATTTTTGGCGCAGATGGAATATCTGCATTCCCTACAGGAGCGTCATAAGTGGAAGGCCAACAAGGGCCCACAATTAAAGGAAGATCAACTAGTGCTTTTAAAGCAGCAAGGTCTGGCACCTTTGTACTGGATGCTCGGACGTGTGGTGCAGATACACAAGGACTCTAACGGCAATGCAAGGTCCGCCGTCATTAAAACTTCAAAGGGTTCATTAGTTAGACCACTGTCTAAAATAGCAATACTACCAATAGACTCTTAAGCTTTTTTGTTTTTATATTTAGGCTAAGTCTTTCTTTATCGTAAGTTTTAGTTTAGTCTGTAAAATTACTCTCAGTGTCTAATTAAATCTTCAATTTATTCGCGCATAGTGCAATAAATTTACTCTTTGTTCGCTCATTGTAACAAGCAGAACGCTTGCGGTAATCAGTCTTAATTTTATATTCCGTTGTTACGTCCCGCAACAAAAATATTATAAGCATAAATTTTTTCTTTACTTTTCTATTTCTTTCCTTATTTCAATAATCAAATATTATTCAACTCATATTTTATTCAATATATACATATTAAACCATGATTAATTCTTTCGTTATTATATATATTCAACAAATAAAATCGTATACTAGTAGAACTAACCGCATAGCCAGACACATAATAGAAGTAGATTATATGTATACACAAACTAAAGGAACAACAAAATGAACCTGACCATTGTTGTCAAAATTTATGAAGGAAATACATAATGGAATTAAAAATCGATGCATACCAATATATTGATTTATTTATTTAAAAATAATTATACAATAACTCCCGATGACAGTAAATCATTTTGTTGAGCCAAATAAATAAGAGGAAAATACTTATGCTTACTCATATATTATTCATCGCTTTCTATAGAAGTACTATAGTATAGACTGACGTATATACAGTCTCCTTCCAACGTACATGCAAGGCTCCATCTGAAAAGAATGAATTATTCAATCTATATATACTGACAAGGTAATTATAATTTTAATAACTCTGTAGAAGCATCATTTAAGCTAGTTAAAGAATGATTATTACATTGATAATCTCAAATATAAAATATAAAAACTAAAGCGAATATGCACGAACCTATACATGAGACTTTTAGAAATATAAATCTTAATAATTCAATCTTACAAAATGAATATAAAGCGCGAATATAAAATTAATAAATGATTTTCATAAAAGTACCTACGCAAGTTTTAATATAGAATATGCATGATCGAATTAGCAACTGTCTCGAAAGGAAATACTTACGAAAGAATATAGCAGAGTAAAAGGCACCACATAATAGTAACGCCAAGACTTATACTCGCAGTCGTGGTCGTCTAATTGTCTGAAAATAAATTTAATAAGGAATAATAAATGATCTTAAATAAAACTAATAATTAATATTAATAAATTCATAACGAAATTATATGCTAAACGACTTGTATGATATTTCAAAATTATTAAAGTCAATAAGAAATGAATATAAGAATAAATGAATAAATTTTATACTTAACTCTTTGTCTCATGCAAAAATTATAAGAGCCTTATAATGCTCGACCAAGGTCAGCCTCGCATGATTCGTTATCTCCCCTTCATCCGGTGTGCATAGCGTCATGCGTAGCTGCATCATCCAGCTTAGTATACGGCCTAGAGAATAAGAGTTATAAATGAGGAGAATGAATATAAGAATATAACTTTAGAAGAGACAGTATTAAACCAGCCAACGAATGGTAATAAATTAATAAGAGACATGCAACTAATTAATAAAAATTAAAGGAGAGAACATGTGCATATAAGAACAATTATTCTCAGGTATTAAAATTATTTTAATCCATTTAACAAAGCCTATGTAGAAAAAACAATCAATATGCATATAACTGCTCATGGTACATTAAAAATTTATAACGAGAATAAAATAGCATGCGAGAATTATAATGCGTTAAGACAGAGCGGACGCGCGATTTATCTCCCCTAATGTTTTTCGCGCCGGCCGACTTATCTCCCCCTCGGTATGCGAGTCTTATATGAAGAAGACTTCGAAGTGAAAAGTCTTTCAAGCGTGAAATAAAATTAATCCAACATACTGTGCGTTACATATATAACCTTTTGTAACACATATACATATGCAAATTTAAAAATTACAATGATACAATTTGAACATAGAGCAAAAATGAAGATACAATAAAATAGAATATTATAATTTCATATACTCACTGACAGTAAAAGAAATGATTTAAATATTATAAAAAAAAACGCATATATACATATATATATGTGAATATTCAACGTCATATGCGAATAAATTATTTAAGCTTATAAGAGCGTCGCAAATAAGTTGAAGCGCAACTTATCTCCCCTTCATGTTTGTTATCTCCCCTATTGTCTCGAGCCCAAGTATTAAGACCAAGAGGACTTAAGAATAATAGCCCAAGAGTATAATAGCATGCATATGATTTGTTCTCAATCTCAATAAGAATATTACTAAGTCTTTAATACTTATTAATATTGCTAATTAATAATATAAAATATTTTAAAGCTCTTAAACGTATGAACGTACATACACATATATACATACGCGAAATAAATTTTGAAGTCAAAGGACTTAAAAGACTATTGAAAGAATATTGCATGCAATTATTAAAACAAAGCATATTAAGAAAGTTTTTACCAAGTGACTTCATTATCTCCCCTTCGTTCAGTGCAACTGCACTAAGAGCTTATCTCCCCTTCATCCGGTCGCCGTATTCTTCGTCCGCTGCAACAGATTAAAATAATATTATAATTCCGAGCGTTCAATATTAATTATTATTTCATTATAAAATATTGTCTTCACGAAAATTATTATTGTTAACAACTGTCGATTTACTAAATCTTATACTACCACATTTATATATACAAATATTATTTTCTAACATTAACAATGTAATTATAATAATTTAACATGCCAGAATTTATCATTAATAATATTAATTAAATTTTATATTGTTATTTAGCTAATGACAAAACTTCACTTCTAAATAGAACATCGTACAAGAACCATTCATGTCTCATTCAATAGAGGAAAATTTACTGAATCAAAAAACATATATGAATGCATTACAAAAATTCTGGTTGCTAATAAATTATTATAAAACTTACCTTTATAAAAGAACAATGTATTCGATGCACAATGTATAATAGACGGCTTCGTCGTTCCCCACTCTGTACTGCGCGCCTACTACGTCACAACGCGCTTGAGGAAGAGAGACAGCAATAACGGTCGAGCCGCCTACGCCGCCTTCTCCTACCATCGCCAACGCCTGGAAAGGAGTAGGGATCCGAGAGTACCTTAGGAGCGAGAGCCTCAGTCTCCGCGCAGTTGATCGAAAAATCTGAAAGGAGAAACACCTAGAAGACTTACCAGCAGTACCGCTATAATAAAACTTTGTCACGTTGAGACTCACGACACCGAGAGTGTATAACCAACCAGTCTATTAATAAAGTATTATTAAATAATACTCCGGGTCTTCTGCCGATTCTCTCATCAACCCTGACACCTCCCTAGGAGACTTGCTGAGTGCCTTCGATCCTGGGAAGGAACATCGTCATTACGAGTTGAAGAATCCATCCTCTGGTAAGTACCATTACAAATCATAAATTAATTAACTAACTATATTTCAACTACGCATGTTAACTCAACCTATATACTTACTACTTTACTATTTTTCCTTGAACCTTGACCGTTCATACAGACATTTAGTTTTTTTTCAAGTTGAATATTATTTTAATTTCAACCGGTCCTCAATATTCAATACTTAGAGCGTAGCGCCGTTCTGGTCAGTCACTTGATGTGCATTGGGTAGCATACTACTCCTCTGCCGCTTTCATAAAGGGATTCTCTTGAAGAATTTCTTTATGGATTCTGAGCCGCTGTGACGGGACGTCTTGCACATCGATACTTGACCTCGAATGAAAGACTGGCTCTTAGAGGATCTGTCGAAATAATAGACTTTATGCACTGGCTTATAACTCTGAAAATACTTATAAATAATTTATACTCACTGAATATAAGCCAGCCGCTTTGATTCATGTCATTGATTGACATTGTCTGTATTCCCATATCCTTTCCCTTTGACAATCTTAGATTCAACCTAGAATTTTGAAATACGAATTAATAAATTAAAGTCGCTATTACTACACAGTGAACCATAGCAATATTACATCATGCTGCTCTGATCCAAGCATGAACATTAAATCTGTCAACCACTTCCTCTCTACGCATTCTCTATAAAAAAAATATTTTAACAAAGTAACATACTAACACGTTTGTTTCAATTATCCCCTTCACAGGACCCCTCATCTTATATATACATAAACATACGATTTTATATAAAGGAATAAACTAATCATCGTAAGTAGATTCTTTCCTTTCATAAATCATAAATTCACATAAAAGAGTTTATTAACAATCAATGAAATTAATTATAGATGGTTAATGCTAGACGAGTAGATCGAATCTTGAATCGTGAATTCTCCATCAGAGAAGGTCGCGTTAGACGACGAGCAATTATAAGGAACAGAATAACGGGAACTCCTGTCGCTCGACGATTATTCATTGATCGTGACGAAATCCCGGTTAACATTTTAACTTCTTACAATAATCAGGAAGAAATTCCTTTTGATCTCTCGTTCGCCCCTCTAACCATCGAACCGAGCCCTGAGCCTGCCCAAGAAGAAGCTCAAGAAAATAACCCCGAAGGAGTTATTATAGAAGAAGAGGAGGACACTGAATCCTTAGACGGACATTCAAGTGACATTTCCTTGGAGGAAGCAGATTGCAGGATACCGCTAGCATTGCTCCGAGGCTGGGAACGAAATGCTGAAATAAGGCCTCTGATTGACGTCGGCGTCCAAGTGCCATCCCCGTATTCTCCCCCGGTGTCGCCCTTGCCATACTCTCCCCCGAGCTCCCCCCTATGGTCTAACTACTCGCCCCCCAGTTACTCCCCTGTACCCCTGCAGGACCTTGAGGACTGCTGGGACGAATTCGAAAGAGATACACTAAATCGAACACCAGAGCCCCTCTTTTCTGATCCCGAGGAAGACGACGGAGATTTTAACAACAGAATCAATGCTCTCCTGGATCATATCTGAAGCGATTGTAAAATAATATAATGATTCCAATAAACCACATTTAGACATCATTCTCTCTCTATATAATAAAGGAATCAGTATACACATGTATTAACCTGTAATATATACATTCAT